ACAAACTGGTGTAAGACCAATCGTAATTCAGTTCACAAATGTTAGGCTATAATGCAGGCATCACTGCTGGTGGTTACGTTTTAAAAGCAATTAATCAAGGAACGTCGGGGAGATTTTCAGATTTTAATTTTGTGAAACGTCTTCATAAGAACAAAGTCTATGAAAATCAACAGCAAAATAGCACACCTAAGGAGTCTGTCTGTTTCAACTGAAATTTCAGTGTAAGTAATAAGTAAAAACTGCAAAAATATCTAAGATATCCATTAAAAAAAAAAAAACGAGTCAGATGAGACCAACACTGATACGTTTCCCCTAACAGAACTACAGTCCAAGTTGGTTTAGTGGCAGAATCATGTTGACCCAGATATCTCTATTTTGGCTTTCCCAACCAGACTGCCAGGTTAACATTCAGGACAGCCAATGGGAAAAGTTAAGGTTTTTCTTGCACAAATGAGAGGATCAAGTTGGATGGGGGAAAAAGTTTCTTCTTTTCACGCTTTACTACCTTTACAAATCAATCTGATCAGATCAGATTATCTTTTAGGATCTGCCAGAGCGTATACATTTACACCCAAGTAGAAGGGTTGGCCATAACACCACTATTTATTTAATCAATTTCATATTTACTCAGGGAATATTAAGTCATATTGACTCGTAGCTTCTGGTCCTCTCCACGAACACAGGTAAACAATTTCACAAACTCCAGCAACAGCAATAGTGTTCCACTCGATGATTTTATTGAAGCTTAAAGCCTCCTGAAACAAGAAGAGGTGTGCGTGTGTGCCGTCCTGGGCCGAAGAGAGCTCCACGAGGCCCATGTGTTTGCTTAGGGCAGGCAACGCGCCAATTCAGATACACACTCATGGGCTCCTGGAAGAAGAAACCGACCAGCACTTGCTCTGTTCAAACTAATTTAAAGCTGCAAACATCAGCTTTATCAAATATCATGCAGTTACGAGAAATTGTGTAGCCAGTTTTTTAAAGAATACTACCAGGCAAATGAGTCTGGCAGACTCCACATTGCCATCACTCTTGTCTGGATCATGAATAATTGAATCATTTTATTGAAAAGACACCCACAAAATGCTACTTTTGGTTTTAGCCAGTGTATATACACCATAAAAACGTTTGGACTTATGAAAATTGTATTCATTTTCATACAAGTCTGGAAATCACAGTTTTAAAACGCAAACTGGATTTTGTCAATATGAGCCATATTATAGCGCAGGACTTCCCATAAAAGCCACAACATTCCAGTTGATTAAATCTCTTACAGCTCAGCATAACTACAGAAAAGATTGGATTCTTTTCCATATCTTTCTCAGGCCTGGGACATTTCCATAAGTTCCATGAGCGTAGGAAAACCTTGTGTTAAAACAGGCAAATATGCTAAATGAGGTGCACAACCTCAGCCTCATTTCATTTTAGATCTTATTATTCACTATCTATCCATAGCATCGTTCATAATCATAAAGCTGCCTTTTACAGTCAATCCTACCTGCTGAATGGATAGGTGGACGGAAGTACTGTCTCATTGGCTCTCTGCATCCCAGATGAATCTCCATATCCATTTCCTCTACCCCAGCCGTCACTAAAGCTGGGTAAGTGAGCAAACAGGCCGAACGGAGGTTTCTGATCGGGTAAACTCGCAGCTGAGGAGGTGTTGCCTCCATAGTGGTATCCCGAGCTGCCCATATCTCCCAACGCGGTGGGCCCACCGTGAGACCCACCCATCCCTGACATCTGACAGTAGCTCCGCCTCTCACTTTCCTGTTTGATAACACCCGGTGTGCAAAGCTGGATAAAGTCTGTCTCTTTCTCCGTTTTTATGACCGGCATGTTGACACTGGCTTCCACCATCTGCTGCCGTTTCCCTGTGCCGTTCACATTTGTGCACGCTGCACTGTTGCCAGTGACAACAGGGCTGGTATCCTTCATCAAGTTGCTTTCTGCCAACAGGGCATCATCCACTGCCAGCGATGAGAGAAAGGCAGTCTCATCTGTCACGTAGAACTCATTCAGGTCAGTGAGTGAGTCAGGTAAGTCCAGATCCTTTAGGATGTCCATGGTGTTGTCTCCAATGACCCTCTCGTGACCCGCCATTTCCTTCTCCATTTGGCCATAGGGTGGAAAGTCCAGCCTCTCTTTCTCCGTGGGGGACAGCTCCTCCATTTTCACTTTAAAAGCGTCCAGAGCCTGGATGTCAGAGTCACGATTTAAGTCCGCAATGCTCTCGTCCAAGAGTGAAAAGTTCTCGCCAATGTTGAGACTTAGGGGCTCTTTTGCCTTTTGCTGGTGCTGCATTCTGAAGGGTTTAAATACTTTGACATCTGGTTCTTGTGTGTTACGTCCCATAAAGGATGGATCTACCATAGACAGGCTTCTTTGAGCGTCACTACCACTCAGTCCGTTTGAGAAATCTTTTGATGTACTTAAAGCGGGTGCATTGACACCAATTTCTGGAACAAGGCCTCTCTCAATACATTCCCCAAAAGTTAAATTATCAGTATTGTTACTGCTGCGTTTCAGTCCACGATCCATATCTCAATCCTGTTGTATAGACAGAGAGAAGAAAAGGGCAAACCTCAGTTAATTTGATAAAAAGTTACAATATGTTTACATATAAAATAGAGCAGGAATTGTTAATAAATTATAACATTTTACATAGCACTTAACATAAAGCTGGTGTAAGGCCCCCAAAGTTATTTGATAATGCATTTATTCAGAAAATAATATTCAGACTTTGAATCGTACGTCTGGACTGGACTCCCACATGAAGTTCCTCTCAGCTCCAAACAGAATGAAACTATGAAACTACATTTCAATGCGTATTCTGCCACAAAAGCTCTCTTGAGGTGATGTAAGGAATTGGTTATGCAGATTTTAAAGACTTTTCAGCAAAACATCAAGTTGTTTTGACCCTTGTACAAGTACTTTCTCCTGACAACTTATTTGTAACAATAGTCCGCATTACAGAAGTAATAAATGCAGTTTCATAAAACTACAGCAAAGCATTTAAACTCATCCCACAAAATGGAGCTTGATGAGGCGATTGTTTGCTCAGATAATGAAGGCTTCAGGCACGTAGAGACATTAAAACTCATACAAATCCTCCAACTGCATTAGTCGATGCACCGCAGTGCTGCCACCTGTCAGTTGAACTTAACACTGCACCCAAAATGAACTTCAGTCTGACAAACCCCTTTAGTGTACATTAAAGCTAGCTAAACATAAATTAATATAAAACAGAATGCCAGTAGTAAATTACAAAACGATAAATTAAAACAATTTTAAGGATTAGGTGTTAAAAAAACGTAAAAAGGCCTGGAGTGGTCAAATGACGCAAATTTTCAAGGCAGCAAGAGAAGCTTTGAAACATATAGGCTATATAAAGCTATTAGAGCAGCTATATGGTTTGTTATTCGAAATTTAAGTCATTAAAACAAGAAAAATATGCAGAGGGTATGTGCATTTAAGAAAAATGCACTCTGCATTCACCACGCACGGAAAGCAAATATGACCCCGTACCCAAGTACATGAGAGTGAGACAGACTTACCTTTACAGATTTATGACGAAAAATGCATATACAAGTCCAAAGCTGTCCGTGCGTTTAGGTGACGTTCACAATAGTTTCTCGTTTAACTTCCCGCATGGTCAATAGATTTAACAGGACGAGCTGCAGCTTCGACACTATTTCAACAGCAGCGAGTCGCAAAAACAACTAAATGCGCCGTTATGACGACGCACACAAGTCGTATCACAAAATAAACTTAGCCGCGCTCTGAATACTCGTTGTTGTTCTTCGTCTTTTGAGGTCGAGCGAGGAATCGCCAGCATTACATAAGCAGCTTGTCAAACTCCCGACAGCCCGTGATCTACCCGTCAAAAAGCTTCAGCTAGCTTCAACACGGTAAACGCCCCTAAAACACGCGCGCGCACACACACACACACACACACACACACAAAAACTCCAGTACAAGTTACCCCTATTCAGCCATTCGAATACAAATCACAATAAAAGCTTAATCAAATCCGCGCCGAATCAACAAACGAGCTGATGCTAATGTCAAAAGTGTCACCGAACATACAAATGCAGCCGCTTCGAACAGTTGGATGCGGTTAAAACAGAAACGCTGTGTGAACACTGGCGTATGTCATTCCCTCGATGTCATTTTAAACCGACGACACTGTATATAGACTGTCAACCGCGGATAAAAAGCATATTTGTAGGCTACTAAAGAGTTTGATTAGGGGTCGACTGCGCTAGCTAATGCACACTAGCGGTCGCGAGAGCTCAGAGCTGAGCGAGCGCTGCAACTTTCGTATATTATCCCAGTAAACACAGAACGTTCCCCTAACGTTCCCATATGGTTCCCATTTGGTTATTTTTTTGGGAACCAAATAAGAACGTTCTAAGAACGTTCTCTGTAGGTTTTTTTTTAATAACCTAAAGAGAACGTTCCGGGAACGTTCCCTGCAGGTTATTTTTAGATTTAATTTTATAACCTAAAGAGAACGTTCCGGGAACGTTCCCTGCAGGTTATTTTTAGGTTTAATTTTGTAACCTGAAGAGAACCTTCCCAGAACGTTCCCTGCAGGTTATTTTTAGGTTTAATTTTTATAACCTAAAGAGAACGTTCCGGGAACGTTCCCTGCAGGTTATTTTTGGGTTTAATTTTATAACCTAAAGAGAACGTTCCGGGAACGTTCCCTGCAGGTTATTTTTGGGTTTAATTTTATAACCTAAAGAGAACGTTCCGGGAACGTTCCCTGTAGGTTATTTTTGGGTTTAATTTTATAACCTAAAGAGAACGTTCCGGGAACGTTCCCTGCAGGTTATTTTTAGGTTTAATTTTATAACCTAAAGATCACGTTCCGGGAACGTTCCCTGCTGGTTATTTTTAGGTTTAATTTTGTAACCTAAAGAGTACCTTTCCAGAACGTTCCCTGCAGGTTATTTATAGGTTTAATTTAATAACCAATTGCTCTCTGTGAAAGTCCAGGTTTACAGCTGAATATTCAACGACAATAATGTTATTTGATATAATCAATAGGCTACTGCTTTCATATTCTATTTACAAAGCACTTTCAGGACATCTTTATTGTATGTATGTATATATTTACGTGCTGCATGATTTTGACGTGGTTAATCATTAATGCCGTGCACGTGAACTTTCGAGTCTCTCAAACACTGGAGCGGCCGGCGCGCAGAGTTGCCATGGAAACGGCGCGGGACCACTGCTACTGGTAAACAACAAAACTCCCTCTCTCGCTGTTGTTTCAACTTTTCACGGCTTTTTTCAGGTGAGATTACTCTCTAAAAGCACACGAATAATACTCACAACTGTTTTCGACATTTCTACTTGTATTTGACACGATTCTGTTAAAAATGTACTTTATCGACATGGTGTAGTCTTCGGAAAAAGTCCGTAGAGGTAACATATTAGCAAGGCTAAAGAGGTAGCAGCTAACGTTAGCAAGGCTAACTAACATCCACGTTAACTCGGTTGAACTTTTATTTATTAAAGTTTCTTTTAATCACCTATTATGTGTAAATGAGAGGTTTTGTAAGGGTTTTACAGTGAGCTAATTTATTTAACGTAAACGTAACGTATCGGTGATGTTTCAGGACTTTCAGGAGCAATTGGCCGAAACTAACGTTAGCTCAATGGTAACGTTAAACACATTTTGATTAAATGTTCTGTGATTTCAGTAGTAACGAAATAACCCATAACAGAGAGAAAGCTCCACTACTTCAACATTTCTGAAGAAAGCTGCTGCCGGAGAAGTAACGTTAGGACACAGGTGAGCCGAGGAAGCTCAATAAATAAAAAAACATTTATGATTATTATCAGTGTTGAAAACAGTTGTGCTGCTTCATATTTTTGTGTTTTTCAGGATTATTTGATGAATAGAAAGGTTTAAATAACAGCATTTATTTGAATATATTTGTTAATGTAATGCATCCTTGCTGAGTAAGAATTTCTTCTTTTTTGTTCTATTAATTTTTAAATCTATCATTGACCCCAAATGTTTGAACATTAGTGTAAACTACCCTTCATATGTTTGTGGTCTATTTAACAATGAATCTTGGAGGGGAAAAAATGGTTTAAACTGTTACAATGGTTTACACAAACGCATTAATCAGCACAACTGTTTTTAACATTGATAATAATTTCCTATTAATTCAATTGAATATGGTGACTTCAATTTACATGACGTCATGAGCAATCAAGTCGTTTATATAGATCAGTGAGTAGTGCCCAGCATAAAAGTCCACTAAAGGAGATTTCTCGCATTTTACCCCTAAACTCTGGAATACCTATGAAGGTAAAAGAGTAACAAGACTCGAGCATGAACAATAAATACTTGTATGCTAAAATTTACACTCACAGCTCCAACGTGAAAACCTCATCTAATATGCAATAACGTTGAAAAGATTACAGTTTCTGTCCTGACGAAAATTTTCTTATTTATCTTATTTTTTGCTTTGCAGAACAAGTTTGTGACTGAATAGTAATTATTTAAATAAATTAAAACAATTTATTGTATGAATATAAAATCATTACAATAAATTAAATGTATCTACATATAAAAACCGTGAACATGTATTTTTATAAACATGTATTACAAAATTAAATGAAAAATAATAAAAAATAATCATAAACTTGAAAACATAAAAATTCTAAGACTTTAGGAGATTATAATAATAAGTTTATAAATGTGAATAAATGTGAATATCTCAAGACAATTATCAATGAGAAACTATATACACTTTTGTTTAGCACACATATTATACATAAATACATAAAAAAACACAAAAAATGCAGGTATACACAGTCTGTGACTATACAAACCACAACATGTAAATAGGAAAACGTATTCGTTATTTTGTCACTCATTTGGATTAGTATGAAAGCCGCAACCATTCACATCCAGTCTTTGTGCTAAGCTAGGCTAGCGGTGGGTGCGTCAAACAGACTTATAGCACGCACGGAGATGAAAAAGGTATGTATGGACTTATCTAACTATGGGGGATGAGGTGAATAGGCTAAAGTCCCAAAAAGTCGTAGTGTTCCTTTAAGGTTCAGTCATTTCACTTAAATGGCAGTGACTGATTGAAGAATATATATATTTTTTTTTACTTTTCTTTGTAATAATGTTACTATTTGTTATTCTTACAGATGACTGTGGTGAAGATGGATGAAGATGGATGAGGCTTTCAAGTGCAGGATCTACAATTGTTTTCGTTTCACCTTTTGTTTTGCCTGTTTTGAATGTGATGCACAGCCTAGGCCTATATAATTGTGTTTTTTTGTCTGTTTTTAATCAACAATTAAACAATGAATCGACAAAAACATGGACTGTACAGGTTTATTTATATAGATTTACTGTTGTATTTTATTGAAGTAAAAAAAAAAGATGAATTGTTGTTGAACATAAAGAAAACTATTGTCTATGTAATGTTCTGGGAACCAAAAACGAACTTTCTGGTAACCAAAAACTAACGTTATGATAACCAAAAACTAATGTTCTGAGAACATTCTGGGAACCAAAATCTAACGTTCTGAGAACGTTAAGAAAACTTTCCCAGCTAACCAAAAACAAACCATAAAAAATAACGTTCTGAGAACCAAAAACTAACGTTCTGAGAACGTTCTGGGAACCAAAAACCACTCTTCTGGGAACCAAAAACTAATGTTCTGAGAACGTTCTGGGAACCAAAATCTAACGTTCTGGGAACGTTAAGAAAACTTTCCCAGCTAACCAAAAACAAACCACAAAAAGTAACGTTCTGAGAACCAAAAACTAACGTTCTGAGAACGTTCTGGGAACCAAAATCTAACGTTCTGAGAACGTTCTGGGAACCAAAAATTGTTAGCTGGGATAACGCAACTTTTGCATGCGCGTCATAACGAGCTGAACAGACTGTATACGAAAATCTCTTGACAGATATATGCATGCACGGAACAAACATGCACGGAACAAACGACGGAGAGATGAAGACTGTGAGAGAGAAGCATTCAGGGTGGCGCAGTTCAGTCCGTAAATATAGGGGCAAAGGGCACGTCTACGGGATAAAACCGAAATACAAGCGAATTGAGAAAAAAAATATGGTTATACACCGTCTCTATCTTGGGATAAAACGAGTAACAGCTGTCCAGTGTCCGCGTATTAGTCCACATCTGCTTAAAAAAGATAATCGAAAAAATGTGAGACTTTAGACTGTTGTTGAGTAAAGAGAAAGCGACATGCGCACAAGGGCTCCGTTTAATGTAAATATAATTTAAACTCGCGTGTAATATATTGCATGTTGAATACGACGCAGGCTATTATAATAAGTTATTCAGTTCAGTAAATGTGCGACTGCAAAGGTTTTGAAATTTAACTCGTATGGTGACAGACACAGTATTACAGCTTATGTAAAGTTCCCAGATTGCTGTAGGATATGGCATGAGGGGAAAGAAGAATAACATCCGTAGTTCACGCTTTGCTTCTGGATTCAGATTTTAGATTGGACAACTGATGAATATAGCTACCAAAAGTGTCCTAAAAATTAAATTACAATGTGATTTTCTTTAAAATAGCATAGGCTAAAAATGATCAAATTGGAAAATGCATGAAACCGCAGTGTGTTTTAGGCTACTACTGAATAAACACTTTGCTATCCTAAAACAACAAAAAAAATGAAACACAACGTATTTTCTTCCATTTATTGATGCCTGAGTACAGCCTATGTGTTTTATATGTATTTTAGCAGTGTATGAAAAGACAAACTTGGAGATTAAATCGGCTAACATTGTGTGCAACATAAATCAATATATTGCTGGAAATAAATCAACAACCAATTGGTTCTGCGCTTCTCGTCTGGTGCATGTGACCCCCTTAAAGAGGAAAAAAAGTAGTGTCTGTACTGTTCCTGCTGATGCTATGCATTTCGTGCATAGTAAGCACATGTAGTAGATGATCTTCTACACAGAATATCTGTCAAAATGAGCAGTTTACACCATAGGATAATGCTTGGAATAATGTAACCCACAATGCAATGTTCTCCCTTGACCCTTAATTTATTTGAACTTCCGGTTAATCCACCTCACAGGACATGGAGGATCATGCCAAGAGCCTTGCATTGTGCTAAAAAGTTTTGTATGCTGTGCACTCTTGTTGTAAGCTGCATTGTAGTATTGTAGGTCAGTTGAATATTTGCATACGTAATAGTCTATATACTGCGGCAAGAGCAGTATGGTTGTTATTCCGAAGAACATACCTAGAGTAGAGAATTCAATTATTACCCAGTATTTTTTTCCACCACGTCAGTTTATCCAATACAAAATTTCACATTTACTTACCCTTGAAAGTTTTTCTTAAACTCACAGAATTCAACAGCCATACTGTTGCTTGGCTAATAATGAGACTCCTGTTACATCATACTTTGACTGCATCTGAAAACCATCTGAGCTCCAGATTATCGTTGAATGTCATTTTGAATTTTATGTTAGCAGTCCACATGTAGCAAGGAATTTTACACATTCATCTCTTTGCTGACTTTTACCAGCAGTGACAGATGGGCTACATCAGACCCCACATACGCCAATATATAAAAGGTAAAGAAGACAGAGTCTAATGTAGAGAAAATGGGAAGGTGTTCTAAGATGAAGAGACAGGGTAGATTCACTCCCCCATGCAAACAACTTCATTATGGGGTGTGGCGTGGGCATGTGGATGTTTAATTATGCCGTTGGAGAGAAAAAGCATACAAACCATCTCCAGGGGCCAACTAGAAGAAATCACACTGTTCTTTGACTCTGTGAAGTAGCACCAGGGAGCACAGAGCCTTCAGATTATTGTGTGAGACATTGTCATTACTGATCCAACGACACCCTTCTCTAACTGCAAACATGGGGTCATTAATAAGCACAGCCACTTTTAAAAAATTCTGCAAATTTTGTTACATTTGGGCAGGCAGCTATAAATAATTGCAAAATGGTCTTCGGTTAAGGATGATGGTGTGCTGGGTGAAAGATGTCTAATGAATAGTTCACCCAAAAGTGAACAATGTGACAGTGATACAACCGTCCTTATATCGTAATGAATCAAAAGCTTAATCAAGCAAGACATTCTCAAAAAGAAAAACCTTATCTTTTTTAAATGTTACCAGAGACTATTTATATAGAGACATGCCACTTCCTCAATCCTTAAGGGAAAACCCGTAACACCAAAGATGGCAGTTGTATGCAAATGCCCCGCCCCTCCCGCTGGACAGCCAATCGTCTGCTTTTAACGGTCAAGCTGGGAAACATTTAAATACGATACTGTTTGAAAAGGCGGCAGATTTGATATGCAGTGTGTGTGTGCGTTGTGTAAATATAACACATCCTAAGTCTCCTAGAAGTTCCGGGTGTCTCCTGCAGTCTGATAGAGGCTCGCTGATGCCCGCAAATTAGTTAAAATTTCCCAGAATCTAGAGCGAGCGAGCAAGAGCGCGCACATACTGTGTTTCAAACTGTGCAGCGCGCGCATGACAGAGAGCGAGAGAACCCTTGCGCATGCGCAGTAAAAGTATAACCTGTTGAAAAATGGTGTTTTAAACCTTATTTTGGGGCAGAGTCATCAAACTTTTTCCGCGATTTTTATTATATTTTACTGCTGTTTCTATACATGCAGTTTTTATCTCCCGGTGACCAGTGAAAGTGCAGTTCTGACTCTCTGCCCATTCATTTAGATAGAGCCTGGTCTTGTTAAGTCCGAAATAGCTGCCCGGAGGCGTTGCCAAGATGGCGGCCGAGTGGCATGACTTGCCTGAAAGGACTTTGTTATTACTTAGAAAATCAAATGCATGTGGTGCCAACAGAAAACAAATTGATATAGAACCTAATGATTTTAGCTTGGCAATGAAGCAGACAAAGACGATGTTAAAGTGAACCCAAGTGCAGTTTATTTATCCAAGGACGTGAATCAAACCATGAACAGAATCCAAAACACAAAAAACAAAGTACAATCATAGGGGGGTTACTGCTTTTTTTCTTTGAATGATTCTGTTGATGGGGTGCAATATGGCATGTATTCATGTTTTTTTCTTTTTTTAAAAGTCTTATTTTTCATAAACTTCACCTTTATTGTAAGCCTCGCTCTCCTCTGTCCCCTGAACGAGTGGTTGACTTCCTGATTCTATGAAACCACTCCCTCAGAAACAGGCAGTGGGCTCAGATTGGTTAGTTTTGGCTGGTGTGTGGTGATTGGCTAAACTGTCGCTCACGTTGTCCGGAAGATTAACGCCCATTACCTTTACAGGCGAAATGTGCCTGCGCTCCGGTCCAGATGTAAATAATGTTGTCGAACTGCAGTATCAGTTTGAGGCAGAATCAGGCCAAGAAAGCGGCAATGAAGAGAGTACACAGAACCTCACCACACACGGCTCTTACTAAACGTTTCTGAATAATTTGCTACATTTTTTAACTTTATACACGTTTGTTTAACACAATAGCATCTGACTGACAACAATAGCAACTGACTGGCTACTAATGTTATACTCAAACAGCGTTGGCATTAGTTTACGTTCTTGATCGAATCGAAAATAACTTCATAAAGTATATATACATGAAAAATACGTTTAAAACATTAGTACTTATACAAAATTCAGGTCCATAATGTTTGTACACGTTTGTCGTAGACACAAAATAGCATAACTAGTAGCCTAGTGGATATGAAGCCAGCGCTGGCATTTGAAAAAATAAAACACAAGGCTACGTCTGGAATTATACATGCAAATACATTTAAATTGATGAAGTCTTAGCCTACTTACAGGTTGTGGCCCAACAACTGCTGCCTCTGGTTTTAAAGTTGGAACTGCTTCATGTTAGTAACAGTTTCTTGTTGAATCCGGTGTTGAATTCGTCGAGATTCTGGAAGCTGTCTTCCGTAAAATGCGCAGCACAGAGAGCTAAATTACGATCGACACTTTCAGGAACATAATCAAACATAAATTGTATCCATTGTTGACCAAGTAAAGCATCTGTGGGAAGCTCGAACACAGAAGACCTGACAACTGGATGAACACAACACACTCGACGAGCCACAGAAATATGCGCAAGCCCTTTTTTGCTTATTCCGGAGGGAGGGTTGATGTAAATGTATGGGTTAGTGACGTCTAAAACCCAGCTGGAGTCCCAATCGAGTCGTTTTTGTAGGCATTAAACTTCCTGATTTTTAAAAGACGATATCTCTGCTTACACTGAACTTTCAGCGCTGCAACTTTGCAGATACTGTTCATGCACTAACAGCAACATTACACACTATTTAAAATGAAAAAAGTGAAATCGCAATCAACCCCCTAACCTGATTTGTGGAAAATGGAATATCAAACTTCTT